CATTGAAAACTAAAACATATATGACTTGGAGTATTAAGTTCTATATTAATTTTGCTAGCTACTAACATCTGCATTTAATTATGTAAATTGTATGTTCTAACACAGTTTGCTACAGATCACACTCGAGAAAATCTATCTTTGTAGCTGAAATCATGGAGCATCTAAAGTAAGCAGTATTGGTGCCCATGAGATCACATCGAAGCTTGGGACAACTAATGCAAGTGATACTGGTGCCCATGATACAAACTGCACATGACACTGTTTGCTAAAGACAATTCCATACTATTAAGAAGCATCATCACCAATTTTTATGCAATTATTTGAATGTAATATATGTAAATCTTTGAGTGACATGTATGTAAATCTTTGAGTGATATGTATGTAAATTGAGTGATATGTATGTTGTATGTAAATATTTGGTTGTTATAAATGTAAGAATTTCTAACATTGGACATAATGATATGTATGTTCGATTAAATCATAAACTGAAGAAAATCTTTGAGTGATATTTATGTTACCAAATTGCTTAAAAAATTTTTGCAAATCTTTTGAAAGTCTTATGACATCTTTTAAAAGTAGTTATATAGGTTTCCCTCAATGCTACTAATATCAGACTTTGTGCAAAATGTGTGCAAATTGCACTCCAATTATGGTTGAGACATATTATTGATAAGAGTTTGGGCTTAGCAATGGAACAACATCTGAAAGCTGGTGTCAAACGATGTTGTATCTGGAATCTATATGGCTACCTTGAAGTTGGATGTATGCATGCAATAACAATCGAGGGAATTAAGCAACTTGAAACTTCCTGCTAGAATAGAAAAAATTAATTTGTAATGCCCATATCTTTATCTAGGGGAGCACAACATTTTAAATCACCATGTGCGGAACCATCCCTTTCATCTTTTTTTCTTTGGGGGCATTTACATACATAGCACTCGATTCTTATGTGTTTATATATCTCATTCCTAAACTTTATGTTTGCACACATAACAATTAAATGTTTAAGATCACATCAACAAAAGTTCTATTACCACTTTTTAAATTTGAAGTACACCTTTTCATGCTGAGCTTTATATCGCCAAAGTGCTATGTATGTAAATATGAAAGTTAAGGTGTGAGATATGTACACATATAAGAGTGTCGTGCTAGGTATGTAAATTCTCTTTTATTTTAATTATTATTTTTTGGTTTCTTGCTCTTTTGGGGAACTCATTTTTTTCTGAAAGATGGGTCCAAAAAAAGGTCCACTTCAACTCTCCATGTATGCCATGTGATTGTAAAATACTTCAACACACTTTAGTTTTTTTCTAATTTAATTTTTATGCAGGACATTTGCAGCAACATGCATCCAAAAAGGATGTATACTAGATTTTTGCTGAGAAGGTCAGAGACAACAAGTAGCTAAAATCTTAATGGGCAATAATGCAAGAAACAAGGGTTGAGTATTTTAGAGGAAAGGGTTTCCCGGTTTTCTTGAGAGATCATTTGGAGGTTAAAGAATTATTAGGGCAAGAAAAGGATTCAGATGCAGAGGAAATCATCAATGCTTTAATTGGAAAGAACCTTATAGTAAGATGTGATCGTTTAGTTAAAACCTTAAGGCTCGAAAATTAAAGTTTTGACAAATACATGGTAATTAGATGGTATGTAGGTAAATGTAAGATTTGACAATTCCATACTATATGATATGAAGTTTTGGACGGTATAAATGCAAATTATATAGTTTAGGTGTTAGATATGTAAATACATGGTAATAAGATGGTATGTAGGTAAAATTGTGAATGTCCCTGTGATGTTCAAGGCATGGAGTTGTTATGATGGACTAGTCTAAGAGATGGTCTTTCTAAATGCTGAAGTTTACTCACCATATGTTGACCTGAGCTAACTACTATTATGGATTTCCATCTTTCCTGTAAAGTGGAACTTTAACTTTCACCCCTGTTGTTTTTAAATCATTCATGTAATCAGGATGAATGATCAACCTGAAAGGGCTTTTCAAAGCTATTTCTTTGCTAAATTTGTCATATAAAAGTCTTACCTTTCAAAAAATTTGAAGTTAGAGCATTAGCATACTAAAATTTCATATAAACCGTCAATAAAAATTCACTTAGCCATGAAAACTTTGAATAACTGTAAGAGTGTGAGGAACATGCCAAGATTGGATTGCAACAATCTTACTAGGGTCAGTTTTAATTCCTTGTGAACTAACAAGATAGCCAAGGAAGTGCACACAGTTGACGACAAAGTCACATTTAGCCTTGTTAATGTACAATTTATGTTGTCAAAGCTTCTGAAAGAGTTGTTTAAGATGATTCACATGTGTTTCTGGTGATGTTGTCAGCTAAGATATCATCAAAATACACTATACAAATTTTTCCCAAAAAAGATTTCAATACCTCACATTTAGCCTGAATTTAGTTTTTATCCAATCAATTTGTTTCAGAAGGACAATAAGCACTACAAAAGGTGTCTTGAATTCTAGCCCAACAATCAGTATAAAGGTGTCTTGCATTCTTCCCCATCAAGCTCACCATATACTTTAAAAAAACAGCAATAAGAAACTTTGCAATATCTAGGTAAAGAGAAGAAACCATATTAAGTGCCATTAATAAACACACAAGAGTATTTGCACCTTAATCATCTTGGTAATAAACCATCTTATTATATTAATAAACACACAAACTAACAAAACAAATCCATTAAAAATCCTTGTATAAATCAAAGCTCATGACAGGTAAGCTCTACCAACAATATGCTTTCAAAATGAGATAAAATGTATTTTATGTCTTTGCTAATATCATGACCGGCTGATATCATCTGCTATTTATTCTTGTAAAGTCACCATCTCTGATGCACCTTCACGCTCTCGAGTGCATGCATCTTCTGAACCAAACTCTTCATGTATTGAACGTCCCACATGATATTCAAGTGCTTCAGGTGGGATTTGCATTGAATCATCTTCTAAAATGGCAAACTCCGTATCCAATCTGGAAGGGCGGCGTCAGATGAAATTGTGTAGCGCCATTGTGCCAACAACTATTTTTACTTGCTTTGGAAAAGGGTAAGACGACATATCCCGTAATATGACCCACTTCTTCTTCCATAATCCGAACGCTCTTTCAATTACGCCGCGCAATGAAGAGTGTCTTTTGTTAAAAACCTATTTTTTGCCTCATGCAACACTACTAGATCTTTCAAAATCAGGAATATGATATCTAGTGTCTGGATATGGCTTTAGGTATCCCCTCTGCATAGGATATCCAATCAACATCAACTAAATAGTATTTACCCAGAGGTGGGTACAAACATCCATGTCTCAAGTTTTTGGTAGCAAACTTGAAAACACGACTATGATGGGCACTTCCTTCCCATCCAACCATGAAAAAAGTAAAGCACATATTAAAATCACATATAGCCATAACATTTTGTGTTTGGGCGCCGCATCGACCGATGTATGGAACTTTTTCATCACTACAAACTCGCACATCAACGTGTGTCCCATCAATAGCTCCAATGCAATCCTGAAGTCCAATGCTATCCTGAAGTTACAACTAAAAGGTTTTTTAAATTGTAATGTAATAAAAGTAGAAAGATAAATGTAATGGTAAAAGGCAAACCTTAAAAAATGACATGTATCGAGGGTCATTTGTAATTTGTGAAAGAGTGGAATGGAATGTTGGATCTTCGGCCTTAACTACCTTGCAGGCCAAACTCATCAGAGAGTTCAAACCAACTGCGAAATACCTGTTGATGGTTTTTGATGAATGTTGGAATCGCTCCATAGCACATCTAATTGATTCATTTTGAGATAAGATGTATAAGGTTATTGTCAGGACCCCTTTGAAGTTGTTCTTGCAGAGCCGTGTTACCTATGATGGATCCAGAGTTCATTTAGCAGATCATGAAATACCTTTTGTGTCGAACGGAATTTATTAAAGAACCGTGTTGGATGGCCCCGTAATAACTCACCAACCCATCTATCTCCTACTTGAGTTGAAGTCATACATGAGTTTCGGTGAACGTGTTTAAGATAGTAATAATACAATAAGGTAAGGGTAAATGCAACTGTGCGTATGTGGTGGATTTCTTCTTCATCCTTAATACAAAATTATTAAAAGGAAAATGATTTAACTTTAGTAATAAGAGCAAAAGTATGCTATGAAAGATGAATAGAACACATGAACTTTAGGCAAAACAAAAATAATATATAATAAACTACAACCACATAGAAAGGTGAACTGTGTAAAACATCCATGAAGAAGATAAAAAAGTGTGCATCACATAAACAAAATATAGAACAATAGAAATTAAAGTACATAATAACTCAAATATTCAGTCGTCCATAAAAGATCGCAAGTATTTCACTGGATATTTTGGTTCCAACTTCATAAAAAATTGTCTGATGGTTGGATCTCGTAACACCTTCATGTATTGAATGTAGTCATCATCGTCTGCCTTAACATCAGAATATGTATTGAGGACTTGAAGACACTCATCAATTGAGCTATCCTGTGAGGAAGAAGACCGAGCTTTGCATGTTTCAACAAGTGCATCAATAGTTCCTTTAATGAAAGCAACCCCTTTGTTCTTCTTTTCTACTCTGGGATACTTGGGCACACTCGTGGATTGAACATCGGTGTGAACATGGCTAGGACGATCTCATGAATAACCTATCTGCACGGTATCCATCTCTTGGGCTGAGCTGTCAAACCATATATCATTTGGGGTGAACGCATGAGTTCCTGTAGCGACAACCCCAATGAACATTCCATCTAGTTTTTCCTCTATTACTGGATCAATGCCCACGGATTTAAATTTTTTTGCGGACAGAAATGCCTGATATAGATAACAAATGTGCATTAATAAAATAGTGTCAACTCAATGCAAAATTAGATTAAACTTAAAATAAAAAGAGTTATTTATGCACTTGTAGTTTCTCAGCCCACCATTCCTCTGGTGAATCTATTGTGCACTTAACTGGATCCCAACCCATTCCTGTTGCTTCCTTTTTCAGTTCTTTCCATAGTTTCCAATCCTTCTTTAACTGGTCCCATTTGTTCTTCATTTTCATGCGATCGTAATGTCTTCCAGTCAATTCTTTGAATTTAACCAAGATATTTCGCCACTCTTCTTTGTTAAGAAATGTAGTGGGTCTATTTTCCACCTCAACCTCCCTCACATAAATCATAAAATATGATAGTTACTCTCTATCCCACATGGCTGATGTTCCAGCATCTTTAGCTATACTCATTGAGTTCTGCCAGATTAACGGATAAGCACAAAATGTTTTATTTCATGGCAAAAAAATCACAAAACAAAAGAATAATTTCTATATCTACCCTCTAAAAATTTCAAAATAAAAATTTAGACAAGAAAACATTATAGAAGAGAAAAAAAAGACTTATAGGACTCAGTCTTAGAATAGAAAAAAAGATGCATTTTTGAAATAACTAAAGAAAAATAAAAGTCATTTCATCAAGAGGACAACCAAACTTCAATACTCTCCAACGATCAACCAAATATTGATCCAATATGTTATAAAAAGTTAGAAATGTATTAGATATGTATCATAATGTTTAGCCTTGTCGGGTGAAAATAAAGTGGAGGTGCCGAATGGAATTCTAGCTAAATATGTTTTGGTAATTAAAAGGTACTTTGATATTAGATTTTCAATCACATTTTTTCCTCAATTAGAGCAAACTCAGATACAAATGTCAGTTCTTATGATGTTTCTTTCTTTCACTAAGCAACGTGAATGAGTATGTTAGATGGATGTTTGGTAGAACTTGAAAGAATAAATTGAAAATTATTATATCAGATATGGCGAGAGTAGCATCTACTGAGGTTAGATATATTTAGCTGGTTGTGGTGCTTACAACTAGTTGTAGAGATGCATAAACAAGTGGAGTAGATAAAAATTACTTAGAATGATTAGGAAGGACACCAGGACAAAACTCAATTATTGAATAAAACAAAATGGCTTAATTTGCATTTATATTAATTTTAAGGGCATTTACATACACACCATCCAATTCCTATATATTAACATATCTCACACCTAAATAATATTGTTTACATTTATACCACCCAAATATTTCGTATCAAATAAAAAAAAACCACCTTAAAAAGTGAGTACACCTTCTCATGCATTGGTAAAGTAGCCAAACATCTTAAAAAAAACCTCACTAATATGATATGCCTTAAAAACATACATCTGTCTATGCAAATAAAAACAAAAGATTAGGCATTGTTTGCTACCCAAACAAAATAATTTAAATAGTAATACCCATCAGCCAGATGTCTCTGGCAATTTAACACATTTTTTTGCCAAGGACCAGGTAAAATTAATGCAAAAAATGAATTACACAAAAAAAATACTATGCAAAATCCAAATGCATGACTGAAATTTAACTCTCATTAAAAAATAAACACTTTCAGCAGGGAGGATCACAGATGAAAAAAAAGAACAACGGAGCCTCTATCACCATCCCAAATAGTAAACCAACAAGGCTTACGACTCCCGACTCCAAATACAAATTGAAAGCAATCAGGATTGAATATTCACCTTCAAAGAACAACGGTGTGCAATCAGAGCGAGATCGGGATTCCAAACTAGAATAGCGCCCAGATCCACAAGACCTTTCCCTTCCACGTCCAGCAACGACTTGGTGACGGGAGCGAGAGGCAAAGCTCTGCTGGATCCGGCTTTGAATGGAGGTTACGGGAGTGAGAGGCAAAGTGCTAGGGTCGTGGGAGAGGCGAAGGAAAAAGGCAAGATCACGGGAGAGGCGAAGGAAAAAGGCAAGGTCATGGGAGCGATCCATCGAGGGGTAATGTGTAAATAGGAATCACAAAATGCGGACCGCGACTAGGGTAATGCATAAATAAGAATTGAAAAACGCGGACAACAGGGGTCAGCCTGCCTTCCGCGTCTTTTAGAAATTCCAAAACGCATTTTCAAATAATCCCTCAATAAGTGGGAACCAAACAATGAGGTGGCGTTTTCAAAATTCCGCCTGCACTTATAAGCTTCCCCAAACAGGCCCTTAATGTATCTCATTTATATACATTATCCAATTCAATAAAAAAAAAATAGTAGCTTTTAATATCTCAAAATTCTGCAAACCAATTCATCTAGAAAGGGCTATCTTTAGAATTAATATTCACTTTTAAGAATAGTTATTAGTTGTTTTAAACTTAAGACTTACCTTTAATAGTACTTGTTAGAGAAATCACTAAAATCGACATTCCAAACTAAAGACTGATAGTAGTAGACTAGAATTATCCAAAGGGATTTCTTTCCTCGCCTCTTTTTGTGATCGTTACTTGTATTTTTAAAGAAAGATTGATATTACTTGAAATGATACATACACTTCCGTAGAGCCCTAGTGTGTGAACTATTTTCAATATTTTATAACATTTCATTGTTTGCACACTATCCACTAAATATAAATTGGGTCAAGTTCTTAGCCAAATTTTAGAAGCTAAAATTACTGCAAAATTACAATATGGGACAAGTTTTTAGCATCATTATCGATGATTTTAAATTGACATAAAACACAAAAAAAACCACACACACCAGGGGCGCATCTATTTTTTGGCGTCATTGTCGGAAAAGATTCGGTAAGAACTTTAGGAGAACTTTAGTTAAACCTGTAAGACTTAGACTTGAAATTTATAGTATTATTTAATTGTGTGTTTAATTATTGTGTGAAAAATCCAAAATACTAAAAACATTTTTGATATCTGTCCTATTAGTTAAGTCATTAGATTTGATGCATAGTTCAAGGTGCTGCAGGAGCTGTAGACCTTGGATTATTCGACTTATGTTTGGAGAGAAATTTGGGAGCATGATGAATCAGAAAAACTACATCAATTTAATGTGAAAATAGCGGATAAAAAAATAATAAATATTCAGATTTGGATTATAATACAAGTAGGTTAGAAAGAGAAAACCACATGAGAGTAGCAAATTTTCAAGAAGATATGCTTACTGTTTTAGTTTCTCAGGTTACAGATATTGGGAGGAAGTTAGATCAATATGTAGAAAGTTATTCTAAAGGGCCGCCAAATATTGAGGAAAATTTATTTGGACAATTGATCGAGACTAACTCATTTGAAACTAGCCATGAGATATGCAATTTTTATATTAATTATTACAACTCTACATGGGAAAAATATTCAAACTTTAACTGAAATAATATTTTTGGAGGAGAAAACCAATTTTGGGAAGACAATCTATTTAATTGAACTTGTAATTGGAATAATCAAAGCAAATTTAATGTTGGACTTTCTTTTCTTCATGAATTTAAACTTCAGCCCACAAAATGAGGAGAAGGATTTATTAAAAAGGTTGATATTCAAATGGATAATCTGCTGAAAATTTAAGGAGCACAATTACAAATCCTTATAAATGTTAGAGGTGCTTAATTAAAAGGATTTTGTGATGCCTGAGATTGGTGCCCGAGAGCCAATATATGAGGGATAATCTTATCTTTGAGATTATATTCTATAAAATCATTTAAAAAGTACCTAAAGTATCTATGTTGTAATTCTGTTAGAAATTGGAAGTATTAGTGAGATGTATTAAGGTAAAGGAAGAATTAACCTCATTTAACATGTGTGTTGTGTTTGTGTTTTATGATTATTTTTGTGTTTCAACTTTATATAGGACTTAAAGTTCATATTTATATTTCTATGCTGATACTTGTTATGCTAGTTAAACTTTTTCAATTTTATTATGGTATGTTTAGTTTAGATTTACTTTCTGCTACACCATTTCTATCCTGATAAATAATTGCAGATGTTTTGATAGACATTTGTTGTAGACTGAAATTCTTAACTATTTTTCTTCTTATTTATTATTTCTGTATTGAATGTTATACATGTTTAAAATCAGGTTTTGGCGTAGAAAAATAAAATTTGAAGTAGTACGCTTCCATTTAGTTTAATATTATTACAAGCATGTTTTAGGCTAGATTTACTTTCTTGTGCAGTCATTCTATCCTGATTAAGCATGTATATGAATTTGATAGGATGATATAGTAGTTGGTAGATTTAACTTTTACTTTTTCTTACTGCTACATTTTATAGAATTGATTGCAAAATATTTATAAATTTAAGTTTGAGGAGAAGAAGAAAAATAAATTTCAAAGTTAAACTTTATTTGTTCTCAAAGAAACTACAAATTAGTTTTATTTTGATTATTATTATTTGAAGTTTTCTTAAGATTATTAAAATTTAAGTATAGAAATGCAATAAGAAAACTTAGTACGGACATTAGTAAAAATGATTAAACTAAATTTAAGATGTTTAGTAGAGAATAGTAGGAAAATGATTTTACTATTTATAGTAGGAAAATTTGAATTTTGGTTAGTTAAGTATTTTTAGGGCAGTACTTTTTTAAGAAATTAGACTCTATCAAAAATTCCTTTTCTAATACTACATTTTAAGTGAAAGAAAGAAAATAAGTTCTTAACTTTAGAAAAGGGATAGTGAAATCCATATATAGTAATCCTTACCTAGAAAAAGAAAAAGAAAAAGGATAAGAAAAAAGAAAGAAAGAAAATCAAAAATATTATAAAGGGCGGAGAAACTTGAGGATCAGGACTTAATTAAGAATTGATTTCACTTCAATCTTTCTAAGGAAGAAAACTTAGGATCAATCTTAAGCTTATTCTAATAATCAAAACTTTTTTTTATTAGAATAAGTATTATTAAAACTTTTTTTTCTGGAGGCTATTCTAATAATCAAAAGTTTGTAAAAATTTCAATTATTTCTGAATTAAATAGAAAAACAAGATTCTTATAGTTTAATATAAAATATTCTAATAGCATACATATCATCTAATTTACTATAAATTCTTCTAAGTTGAACTATAAAATTTCTAAAACAAAGTTTTAGTAAATCTTAAAGAAACCCACTAACATAAACCATCATATTTTTAAAGTTATAGTGTTACTTGAGGACAAGTAACATTTAAGTTTGGGGCATTTTGACACGCCTAAAAATTACCTACCTCTTCAAATATATTTTATGCTCATTTTTAATGTTATTACACTTTAAAAGAA